CATAGTTGCACATCCTTCTAGTTGCTGTATGTGGGACGCGGCCTCAGCATGGCCAGAGAAGCGGCGTGTCAGTGTGCGCCCGGGATCCGAACCCGGGTAGCCAGTAGCGGAGTGCGAGCACTTAACCGCTAAGCCACGGGGCCGGCCCGAGGCAAGGGTATTTTTGAAGGCTCAAGTTGAACCCTGAGAGGTTTTTAGCAATACATATTCCAAACTCAATCCATTGCGAGTAGACTCTATTTTATATCAACCAACGGGTCTTAATGAAAGATATATCAATTGTTCTCAAATGGGACTTCGGTCCTATATGAGGGAGATGCATTTTTTCTTCCAACTGAGCCTTAGCAATCCTATGTAGGTGTAAAGAATTTTAAATAGCCTCAAATATTCCTCAGTTTCTAAGTAAGTAAATATATTTTCACAACGAATATTGCTGACTCTCAAAATGTGCTTTTCCTGTACACTGTAGTGAAGAGGTACAAAAAGGCAGTGAGTGAGAACATGACATTAATTTTGCTGGCAATGGATTCCACACTGTTTCCACTTTGTAATTTAATAAAAATACCTTGTCCTCTTCTCCCCCACCTTACTTATACTGAAGAAATAACTGACTAAATCTTTCTGATGATGAAAGATGGTGTTTCTCTTAGTTATGCTTCAAATCCAGGCTTTGCCATGTACTGGCTGTGTGATCTTGGACAAATAATTTAACCTCTCTGAACCTCAGTTTTGTCATCTGTAAAAGAGGGAAACAGTATCTACATTGTAGGATTGATGTGAAGATTAGAGTCGTGTTCATGGGTGTCAACAAAGATAGCCATTATTATTTGAGCATATGAAAATCACTCTTATCTATCCAGCGATAATGCAGCTGAGACCTGATACCTGAGAAACATCTGGGCAAACTGTAGCCAAGCAAGTCACTATTTTGGACTTTCTCTACTTTTACTTTCCAGAAAAGAACTGAAGATCCCCTAAGGTCTACTGAGGAGTATTCATACTGCAGCATGTGCCTCTTGGTGTGCAAGTAACACTAAATGGTCTGTGTGCACACGTCGAGCTCTTGGGTACTTTGTGAATTCATCTACAGCTGCTGTTCACTCTCAGGAGGTTGAGAAGGAGTCAACAGAAAGTACATACTGGGAACAGTCTGCCACCCCTCTAATTGCTGCTCTTCTTAAGGAACAAGGGATGCTTCCATTCCCTTATCCTGCTTCCATCACTGACTAACCAAAGAGCTTCAGGGGAAAGTCCTTATTAATATTTTGGAGGAGGGAGTGGAATTAGGGTGGGGAAAGGATTAGAGACAGAGAAAAAGAAACAGAGAAAAGGGGCTTACTCTTATCACTTGAAATCAACGACCCAGTTGCCTTTTATTATTTACTTAGGTGGTAGAGTTATGAATGTTAAACTGCCTTCAAATAAGAAGGGAGACAACTGGGTTACCCAGCCTAAGCAAAAAGAGTATAGTCAGTGGGACTAAGTAAGGCACCAGACTTCAATGAACCAAACATTAACCCTGAAACATTCATGATGGAAATTCCCTGAAAGAGGCAGGGTAGACTCATGGTTAAGAGCACCGCAGTGGAGCCACATTGCCAGGGTTGCAATCTGGTTTTACTACTTAGAGCTGTGTGACCTTATGCTAATTACTTAACCTGTCTGGGTGCCATTTCCCTCTTCTATAAAATGGAGACGATGACAATAGTACCTACCTCATAAATTGTCACAGAGATTAATGAGTTCACACACTAATGAGTTTATAATTGTACCTGGTATTGAGAAAGTGTGAAAAAAATGTTATCTATTATTATTATTCTGAGATCTTTATTAATTCCTCAATTCAAATATAAGACTAACTGGGATGCAGAAGCTAGGTAGCTGAACTCCCGGCTCCTCTTGACCAACTTTCTAGCCCACACAATTCAAATTCTTGTTATCTCTTTTCATAATCTCATGTAATACTCACAATCCTATGAGGTGGCAATTATTTGCCCTGTGACAAATTCCTACAGTGCTGCTTGAAATAGATCTGCTCCTGTAGTCTAGATCCTGGAAATGCCCTGCAGAGATGAGTTTGGTATTTTAATAACTCGCTTGCAGCAGGGAGAAAGGAAATTGAACAGGATGATTTAGTTACAAGTTTTATATTGAAAAAGCACATTTACTTCTTGGAGCTTAGATTTTTTTGTAACCAGCTCTATAAAAGCAAAGGAATCAGCCCACACTAGGTAGAAGTAAAAAATAATAGTTGTAACACAGATGTATTTAAATTTCGATAAAAAATTAGATTGTACACATGAAATCTGTTGAATTACCTCGTCTTTAGAGAGTTGCCTGTCATTGTCCATGTCTATCTGCTTAAATGTTTCAACACTTCGTGGTCCTTTGGTCACAGCATAAAGTTCAATCTCAAAAATCAATGTTGCATCAGGTGGAATCTTGCCTTCCACTAAAGGTATAAATTTTAACAGTTTAACTTACATGAAGACAATGTTCAAATATTTATTTACAAATAGCCATTATAGCATTATGATTATATTATTTCACATTTATAAAAACTGCTTTCTAAAGACTTTTTAGGAATTTTTTTCCATATGTTGTTAAATCAAGTCAGGTCTAAGGACCTAGGGAACCATTATTCCTGATTGAATTAAAATAAATATAAATTGTGTAATTTTTATTAATATTTCCCATCATTATACAGCAAAGAACTAGTGCAGACAAGAAATGCATGGGCAGAAAAATTTCAAAGTGTAAAACAGTAATCTTTTAGAAAATAATTTTGTGTAGTTATTTGGAAGCATAAATAAAACATATGAATCAATATGTCTTTCAAATTCTTTATAGACATTAAAAAAATAAGTGCAATGACAGAATAAACCAGTAACAATTTTATGAAGAAATTTCTAATCACAATAAAAAATTTAAGTATTCAGTTGAACAGTTCTCTTTAATAAAGTTAACCTATTAACCGATGTCACAGATGATTTTAGCAAGCTATGGGCTATTTCAGGTGACCATTTTATAAAAATGACCTGCAGAAATGACTTGCTAAGAGGCAGTGGGTGGCTTGTGTCACCAGTATATTCCCAGAGTCTCACACAGTGCCTGATCCATAGTCACTCAAATATTTGTTGAATGAATGATCTTTATTGTTTATTTTTAGACGAGATCGGGCGCGTTCAGGGTGGTATGGCCGTAGACAATTGTTTATTTTTAAAATGACTAAGTTTGTTCTCTGAAGGAAATAGTAACTTCTTTAATGAAAAAGTGGAGAATTCTTGCTCAAGTATTTACATAATCCAAAGAGAAAAGAGCTTGAAAGTTCAGCCAAAAGGAGAAGTGGATCAGTCGCCTCCAAGTGAGGACACAGAAAAATCTGCCCACGTATCACGTGACCAATGTGACTGTCCCAACTGATGTACCACATGTTACCCGATTTGAGAGTAAAACAGCTAGAGATTGATTCAATCATCATTTTTACAAAACCCTTTCCTATTCTGTCCAGTTATGATCTCCTTAGGACAGAAAAATAACTCCTGACAATAATTAAAAACAAATTCAAAACATAAATTCAAATTTCTTAAGAAAAAATATTACAAGTTGAAGTTTCTGAACAATTCTATTGTGAACATAGAAAATATTGCCCATTAGGTTTTTTCTTGCAAAAAATTAGAGTATAAAGAAGAGAAAAACATGCATTTGCTATAGAATAACTTGTATTTAGAGAAGCAGGTCAAAGACGTAGGAGTTAATGTAAAGAAGCTATACATACCACATATACTGTTAATTAAAGCATTAACAAGTCACATGCATTTCAAACATGCAGGAGTGCTCTGTGACATGAGGCAAGGATACTGCGCAGAGGAAAGACTTCTTCTAGTACTACCTAAAATAAAGTTATAGTTAATGTTAGGTCTTGATAACAACTTATTTAAATCTGATCAAGAAGTTAGTTGTTATGCAGTCACTATGGTCTACACTGTAATTTTTTTTTTGGTGAGGAAGATTCGCCCTGAGCTAATATCCGTTGCCAATCTTCCTCTTTTCCTGCTTGAGGAAGATTAGCCCTGAGCTAACATCTGTACCAGTCTTCCCCCATTTTGTATATGGGATGCCTCCACAGCATGGCTGATGAGTGGAGTAAGTCCGCGCCTGGGATCTGAACTTGTAAACCTGGGCAACGGAAACGGAGCGCAGAAACTTAACCACTACGCCATGGGGCCGCTGCACTCTAAGATTTTTTATTTTTTAGTGATTCAAAAATTTTTAAATGTGGGAAAATATATGTAACAAAACTTACTATTATAACCATTTAAGTGTACAGCCTAGTAGCGTTAAATACATTCATATTGTTGTGTGACCCACCTCCAAATCTATCTCATCTTGCAAAACTGAAACACTATACTCATTAAACAACAATTGCCTATTCTACTCTCTCCCCGGTCGTGCTGTGGCAAACACTCTTCTTTTTCCTGTCTCTATAAATTTGACTATTTTAGGTACCTCATATAAGTGGAACCACACAGTATTTGTTTTTTCCACTTATCATAATGCACTCATTATGTTCATGGATTAAATTTCATCCAGGTTATAGCGTGTGTCAAAATTTCTTCCTTTTTTAGGAGTGAATAATATCCCACTGTATGTATATACCGCATTTTATTTATCCATTCATTGGTCAATGGACATGGGTTATTCCACTTTTGTGATTGTGAGTAGCGCCATTATGAACATGGGTATACAAATATCTCTTTGAAACCATGCTTTCACTTCTTTTGGATATATACCCAGAAGTCTATGATTTATTTTTAAACATAATTTAGAGATAAAATATTAAAACACCTTACCATAGCCTTCTTTTCCATATGCAAATGAAGGGGGTATAATCACTTTTCGCTTCTCTCCAGGGCACATATCCATCATAGCAATGTCTAGGCCTTTTATGACTTGCCCAACACCAAGAACAAACCATTTGGGATGGCCTTCATTTTGTGACCGGCTATAATAAAAAACAACACTTAGGTAAGCTGATTTCAAGAAAAATAAAATCAAACTTTAAAATACAGCTGGACATTGAGTTCTAATTCAAAATTGGAATCCTCTCTAACCATCTCTTTTCCCATATTAGCACTCATTCTGAATCCCTTGGTGGGGTGTTTGGCTCAAATTTCCCACATAATAGCCAGGAAGAGGTATGATTTGCCCAAAGCTAGTCATTAGGAGTCATCTTATTTTCTTTTTTATTATCATCTTTACAAAAACTATTCAGCAGTTAACTTTTCAATGGGTCTCCTGCCCCTAACCAGCTGCATGACTTGTCCAAATAATTCTAACCTCTCTGAGTTTGTTGTGAAAAATGATGGTGCAGGTCTAGCCTCAAAAAGTTATGTGAATGGTAATTGAAATTTGCATGTTTTCTTCCTATTAAATATCTCTGTTTTCTTCTAAATGGAAAGAACTTTCCCCAATCCTATCTTTATAGGGTAATAGCATAGATGAAGAAAAGACATTCTTCCTCTGAGTAATAAACCATCAACTAAATCTGAGTAGTCAGCGGCGGGATGCGGGGCAGGCTGCAGGTCACAGGGCCCAGAAGTCACCACGGTAAGTCACCGCTGTAGCGGCTTCTTGATACAGTTGGAAAGTGGCCCCCAGCCTGTAAATATCTTGCTTCTAAAGGCCAGAAAAAAATCTTTTAAACTACCCTACATAATCCTCTGTAAAGAGGCTCCAACTTACGGCAAGGAAAAGTGCGAACATCCTTATAGTCAGCACCTTGACTTACTTCTACAGGCCCCAAGAGCAGTGGTGGTTGCGGGTGTGTGTGGATGTAGCGTATTTTGGATAATTTCTTGGGCCAACATTTTCAATAATTTAAAAAGTAATAATCAGTTTAATAGGGAACTACTGCATCTAGTCTGATATTTCCCCCCTAGGAATAAAAGGCACAACTCTTACTGTTGTAAAAGCAAGAACCAACCAACCAATTCGGCTTCTGGTTGGTGGAGGGATGGTAGATTTCGCGCATCAACCGGCCGCGGGAGCAGGTAGCAGCATTTCCTACCTGCAGTAGAATTTCGAGCCGTCTTTAGCCAAGAATCCGTCGTAATGGGCATTTAGCAGGTCTCCCTTCTTGCTTGTCTTAGAACAGTTTTCTGGACGATGCAAAACTTCTATTTTCACTTCCTCTGTGCTCTCCTCTTTCTTTTGTCCCTGAGCAGTAAAAATGCCCCATACGTAAAAGAAAACGATCAATCTGAATAAGAAATGCATGATTCCTGGAGTGGGCCCCAGCTGACCACCGCTGTCCTCGCACGTGTCACTCGCGCCGGGCGGCCGCCCCGCAGCCGAGTTCCGACGCGTGGCAGGCATTGTCCTACGTCACAAAGGGCCGGGGGCCGCAGGCGCGGGGCCCCGCCCCCTTGCCCCGGCGGCGCGCTCGGCCGCGGCACGTTCGCCAGTCTGGCGGGTCGTGTCCCTCCGGTACCCGGCGCTTTAGCTGGCTGTGCTCAGTCGCTAAGGCGACACGCACGTTTGCACCGCTTCTCCTCGCTAAGGCCTTTTTTTTTTGTGTGTGTGTGTGTGTGTGTGGAAGTGTGTGTGTGTGTGTGTGGAAGATCCGCCCTGAGCTAACATCTGCCAATCCTCTTTTTTTGCTGAGGAAGACGCCCTGGGCTAACGTCCGTGCCCATCTTCCTCCAAGGCCACATATTTTACAGCCAGTTTCCGGAGTAACGCTCGCGTTTCCTAGAATGAAACCGGCAAAAGACATAAACAGCCTAGGGGGAGATGTCGCAGTCAGACAAGACGGTTGTCCTTTCTGGGCGTAAAAGGCTTCTCCTCAGACCCCTAGAGAATTAGCGGGTATCGGAGGAGGCATTCTGCTTCTGGGGTGTTCTTGGCCTTCTCGGGGTGGGTGTCGTGCATTGAGAGGTTCAGGCTAAGCCACACGCAAGCTGACGGCCACCTGGTCGCGAGCAGAGGTGCCGCTGCGGCTCCCGGCCCCGGGAAAGGCGTTTCCTACAGTCGACCCCAGCGATTCGGGACCGGCGGCTTAGTTTGCGTTTCTTTCCCCCACCACTCGGGGCGCCCTTGAGTTGAGGGCCTACAGAAGCGCGGGAAAAGCTCCTGGCAGCGTCGCTTTTCTTATCAACTCTGCGAGATCGGTAATTAACCACATTACGCAGACGAGAAAACGAGGTAATTTGAATATTGGGCATTTTGTTCCAGTCTCACAGCTAATACGCGGCAGGGATTTGACACAAAGCCAGCCTTATCCCCTTCCCCACCTTTTAGTATGAAAAACTTTCAAACGCACAGAAAAGTTGAATTTTGCTACCCCATCACCGCGGCCTTATACCCACCACTTGGATTCTATCATTAACATTTAACTATATTCGATTTATTGCATATCCATCTATCCATCTCTCTATCGAGCCATCAACTCCCCTTATTTCCAAGTGAACCCAAAGACTTTTTACCCAAACCAGAAAGGCTTCAGCGAAGGCCTGGATTAGGTTCTGGAAGGGGAGGTGTTATCTACCTCAGTGACGGCAAGAAAAGCCGCAGCACTGAGCCTGCTATATCGGCTTTGCTTAAAGCTTGCAAAATTCCATAAATCTGAAAACTATTGTCAATGATGTAAGATGATCATTTCCAAACAGGATTTTCAAAAATCATAAAAACTAGGGGAAAGCCCCCATTTTTAGAATAAAATAAACTCCAAAGTTTGGTTCCATGTTTTGTACTCTAAATAAAGTTGCTCATTGTCGGCGTGATGACAGTTCCTTGGGGCCCCTCGCCGTTCCTTGCGGGAGGAATCTCAGCGGCACACTGCCTTCCTAGATTAGTTCTGCGACTTCCTGAATGGGAGGAGGATAAGAAGGAAACATAAATAGGAAGTCTTTTATTTTTTTAAAAAAACAAGCACCGGAAGGACCTGAGGCTTAGTTATAGGAAAACGTGCGAGGCCCGCACGAGTGCTCAGGGAGCTCGTCCTCGGGTGGGCTCGGGGGCTGCGCAAGCTTCGGCCCCCGGGGATGGTCGGTCCGGGCCTCGGCGGCCGGGAGGAGAGTGGGGAGCCCCGGGACCGCCGGCCGAGGGCCTGAGGGAGGATGAGGGGGAGCTGGAGGGGAGCCGCGCCGGCCCGGCCTCCTCGCGCAGCCGCCTGCACCGCCGCGGGGCGGCAGGCCGCGCCTGCTCCTCCAGCCCCGCCGCCGGGGAGGGGTTTCCCGGGACGAGCCGGCCCCTTTCATCCAGGAAGTGAAAGCGACGTCGGGGTCAATGAAAACAAACGGGGAGCCCGGGGGGAAGGAAGGCAGTCGAGGAGGAGGGAGCGCCGGGGCGCGGAAGCGCGAACGGGAGGCCGTCCGCGGTCGCGATTTCGCCGCCGCGGCTCGCCGTGGGATGTCTGAGCCCGCGCCTCGCGGCCCCCGAGCTCCACGCGGCGGCCGCCATCCCGGTCTTTAAGGGCCGCCACGTCCCGGCGGCGCGCGCGGGCGGAGGGCGGCTTGGTGCCGGCTTGGGGGCGCCCGGGGAGGGTCCCGCGCGGCCCGGGAGGGGCTGCCCAGGCTCCGCGCCTACTCCACCACCGCGGCCCGCGCCGGGCCGGGAGGATGCGCGGCGCCGGGCTCTGAAGCATGGAGGGGGTTCTGTACAAGTGGACCAACTATCTCACAGGTATGAGGGCTCGGGAGCTCCGGGGGGCAGCGGGGAGGGCTTGGGGGGTTTAGGCGGCGAGGCTGCGGAGAAGGCGGGTCAGGGGCTCCCTTTCCTTCTGCCTGGCCCGCGGTGACCCTCACAGCCAGTCGGCTCTATTTGGTTCCCGGGCTTAATCTCTCATTCTGTCCCTTGTTAGAGCCCATCTGGCCTCTGCAGAGGACAGTTCGAGACTGCGCGCCTTCCTCAGGGTGGAAGTGCCCCTGACCACTTCTTTGCCCGTGTAATAATACTTCTGTTTCCTCCTGTAGCTTCCGGAACAATTCTCCGTCACTCTGCATGTGTTGTTGCAATCTCTGTCCTTATTCACACTTAGTTCAGCATTTTTGTTAACAACTGAGTTGTCGAGGTATAATAAACTTTGAATTTTAAGAAATCTTTTCTATATTTCTTTTAATTCCCTTAGCAACACGGTTTATTTTAAAAGTTCTGTTGTTGAAGTTGTTAGAGCGTAGCAAGCATGATTTTGGAAGCTGTCCCCATATAATATTCCCTCAGGGGTTGGTTGTCAATGAGGTATCCTTATGTTGTGGAATTCAGGTGAGTGTGTGAGAAATAGTGGAAGAAAGTGCAATACACAGAAGTGGAGCAGGCAAGTCAATTTCACCCATGAAGTGGGTTAGAAGGAAAAACTCCAGAGAGTTAGGTGTTTCTGTAGGAATGAGACGCCAGCATAAAGGGCCCCTTTCGGTGACACCACCAGCCTGGCTTATTAAAAGAGCCTTAAATCTGAGTTGTAGTCCCATCTCTGTCATCAGCCAACTGTAAGGACAAGTCACTTATTCTCTCAAGATCTCAATCTCATAAGGCAAGGGTGATCAACTAGTTTGACCTGAAGGTGACTTCCAACTTCAGAATTCTATGATCTCACCAAATTAGAGGAAAGAGAATGGGTTTAAAATAAGATTAAATAGCAAACAGATTTCTTGGTCCGGTATAATAGGCAAATCTTGACTTGCTGCCCACTTAGTGATTCACTCTGCCAAAAGTGTTGAACCCGTTAGTAATTGTATGGTACGGTCAACTTGTGTCCATCTGACCTTGTGCAAAATCTGCACATAAACGCTTTAAGGCGTAGGCACTGAGCTACAGTCGCCTCTGTTTTTTTGATTAATTGGAACGCCAAAGCCAGATTTATAGCAGCAAATGCTTTAACATTTATGATACATGGATGTTATTTTGTTCGAACTAAAATGTCAAACAATGTGTTCCTATAAACTATATGTTTTAACAGGAAACATTTAAAAAACGAGGCAAATATTTTTTAAGCATTTTCATTTGGGCAGTTGTTAAGATCAGTTATACTGTTTAGTTGAGACGTTGTATTAACTTTAAGACAAGTAGTTCCTGTGCTTTGAGATGAAAATGATCATTTCCTTGCAAACTTGCTCATAAACACAGTGTCTTGGGAGGTCATGTGGGCGGAACCTCTTATGCATAGCCCAGAGCAATGGGCAATTACTGAGATGAGTCATAATTTATTCCTGGAGGGAAATGTGGTCTTGGTGGCGGTCTTTCTCATCTCCTGTGGCGCTGAGCACCAGCTGGCTGAGCTTTTAACCACATGTGCTTAAGGTTTTTGTCTTTACAGAGCATTTAAGTTAACTGCTAGTATGCAACCAGAAGCTTGCTGAAATGAAATCTTTTGTTTGGAAGAATTCCATTTTGACAATTTAAATTTGGCTCAGTGGCATGCTGACTATTAATTTTAATTCATCTTAGGTCAGAAGGATGAGCAGCTGTTCATACTGAGTGATCTTTAAGGAACCTTCCAGTTTGATGACAGTGTTCTTTGAGAATCCGTTGTAGAGAATAAGGATTTCAGTAGCAATTGGTAGTTTGAGATAAAAAGAATGTATTTTAAAAAAAGGAATTTGAAAAAGGGAATACCTATGAATCTTTTTCACATATATAGCACATTATATATATATGTGAATCAATTAGAGATTGCTTTATTAAATATTTCTTCAAAGGTATGTAGAGATAATAGTCTTAATTAGGGTAATAACCATGGTCACCTTTCAAGTTGCTACAAATTCTAAATGAATCATTTTGCTCAATATTTGTTTTAAAGAGATATTGAATTACAATAACGTAGGCTTAAAAATCATAATCAGTCCTATAGGCACACTGGACGTGGGGTGGAGGAGTGTATTTTCACCACACTCTGCTTATAATTTGTTTGCCAAGGTGAATTAGTGTTTGGAAAGATAATGTTTTCATTATTTCTATGTATACCCAATATCGTGTACTCTCATAGATAAACTGCACATCTATACTCTCATGGATAACATCCAATATCTCGCTTTTCTGGTGTTTAATCATTCATTCATTCAATCACTTGAGCAATACATTGTTTTACCACCTGTTACATGTCAGGCGCCATTCCTGGTGCGGGGGATGCAGTGATGAACGAGATAAAGTTCATACACCAAAAGAACTTACCTTCTAATTTGCTAGGCCTCGTTAGAGAATATAGTGTTTAATAAGAAGAATTTTCCAAGCATCCAAAACTTGTTTTAATTATTTTGAACATCCATCTTTCTGAACTGTATTATGACATTCCTTGCTGTGAAATTTAACCTTTTTATGATAACTCAGTGTTGTCATTTCAAAAGTGTTACAGGTAAAGCCTTTTGGGGAGGTAAGTTCTGGGTCTGTATCAGTGTGTAAGAATGATTTGCC